GAATTAAAGATGGGAAGATGAATACCTCGATGAAGGACGGTACGCAGAATATGAATGTACTTCGTGAGGCTACTGCACCGGCAAAAACGCGCTCTGGTGTGGGGAAGATGGGAGTGTCATTCGGGGAGAAACTGGACATGATTAAGCCGGTGAGCATCTACGACGAGCTTATGAGAATGAAATTAGGTAGAAACAGATATTAGATGCACGCACAGTAAGTGGAAGCATAACACAGCCGATAGCATCTAATCAGGACATGTAAGTACCATGTATGTGCGTCTTTCCAACCATTAAACCTTACGATACATAGGAAGAGCATGACAGGAGAAGATTTGGCCACATAGGTCGCGTTCACCATAGTCTGGAGAGAGTAGGTGAGTGTAGATCGATGGACCGGGATATGCGGGATAGCGTACAGGGTGCCAGGCCAAAGACGAAGAGGTTTCGGTAAGCCATTGCTACTGGTTTTGGGAAGGACATCGAACCTGTAACAAAAGTGAACAATCTGGGTGGGATAGAAGGGAGTATGTGCGCACCAGAAGAATGTAAGATCAGCGAGGGGTCCGTAGGCAATGGCGGGACCATTGGCGGGAGAGGTTCGAAATCCTCCTCTGATCCTCCAAAGAGGTACTCGAACGTCGGCAACGGGATGGCTTGGACCGGGGGCGCGGCCATGCCACTCGCTTTGCGTTGTGCACATGCCGCTGAAGCCAGTCTCTGAATGCCTGGATCGTGACTCATGATAATATGCGTTGCATGCGTCGCGTGCAGAAGGTGGGCGATGCCCGCAGGGGAGTTGCGCGGGGAGATCGGGAAGGCTTGGAAGCCTGCACGAAGGATGCCTACGATGAGAACGAAGTATGTAAATGTGTCTGGATGACATCGAGTGTTAATGAGTGCATGACGAAAAAGGAAGAGTGCTGGAGATTAACTTGCCTGTATTGGCAAGGATTGCTATAACGGTGGATCTATTGTGGGTTCCGTCCGGGGAGAGGAAGCGGTCAATATACCGCGCTGCGGTGTGGATGGCGCGGACTGCATGCGACCAGGTGATTACTTCCACCAGGCCATTTTCTTCATACACGAATAAAGGATGGTGTGGGCTTTGCGACGCGTGGTAGTCGAAGATCTCGGGGAGGGAGAGGGAGCCATCAAGCGGGGGAGGGGTGAATGTGGTGCTTGTTGTTGCTTGCAAGGTTATAAACGACGTCGTCGTCATTGCTAACTCGGGGGTCGTGGCTAGGGAATAAAGTACTTAATACCTGATATCAGATAAAGGTAGGCCCGTTGGGCAGGAGCATGAGAGCTTTATATGGGGGAGTGTAGTCACAAGCTGTTTTGATACTGATACAAGACTCCTATCGAGAGAAGAACCTTGGAAGAAGGTATGGGGAGGCTGACGAAGATTGCATGACACGGGCGCTGTTCTTTGCGAGTATTGGGGGCAGCAGCCCGAACGAAATGGCAGTGTGGTGAACGGATATGGCAGCCAGTCATGGGAGCGAGTTGGATGATAGTGAAGACTCGGAGACGCCAGAACGTCAACGGTCAGTGATTGTGTGCATGAGCGGTCCCCAGCAGCGCCCGGGCGGCCGGGTTTGGGGGAGAAATAGCTGTTAGAGCAGCGTGCGTACATGCTGTTTCCATTCGAAGGAAGCTGATGAAATTTGGACAATACCCGGTGCTATCGGGAGATGCGGGAGGCGATGAAAATAGGAGAAGAACATTGTAGGTCGCGGGCGCTCACCAGGGCGCTTTGTTGTAAGTGGTGGGTGTGTGATCAGAATATGAAATGTACTTGGAAGCGTCTCAAATTGAGCAAGCCGTTACATGCAACTAAACCTCATGGTTTCTGAGGATGATGAAAGAGATGGATAGTATGGTGCATATGCTAACACATATAATTTTGCGTGCAAACTGCATAGGCCATAAAAAAGAGCTGCTCCCAAACAAACGACAACTAGCTAGCTGCTCATCGTCCACCCTTGCCGCCCTTCATCTGCTGTTTCGATACCTTGGGGCCGGATGCGCCGGCCGGGCGTGCAGTGGGCTGGTTGCATGCGTTAACAGGTTGAACGCAACAATAAGATAATACCAACGCACCTTGACCTTCTTGGTCTCCTTGTCCTTCTTCTCTGACTTGGCCTTAGTGATGGCGGCAAGGCGCTGCTGGGAGCGAACGGCGGCGGTCTGGTTGCGCTTTGCGGCGATGGCAGCGAGGTCAGCGCCGACGATGCCACGCTGGTGCTTCACGGTTTTGCGGGAGCGCTTCTTGGCCACCTCCTCGGTGATACCCTTCTTATGCATCCTGCGGTAGACCTGTGTCCAGGCGATCTTGCGGGGGTTCTTGCGCTGGAGGAACAGGGATGCGTTTTTAGAGCCGGCAAAGCGGAAGACCTAGGGAGGAGATAGGTAAATAAAATAAAATATAGAAGAGACGGGCGCACCTTGCTGTCGCCGCGGACGAACAGCTTGCCCTTGGAGGGGTAAATGCGGTAGCCGGAGAAGGAGTCGATTTCGACCTTCTGCACTCGCAATTACGGGTCAGCAAACGAAGAGAACAGCGCGCAGAGGTACAGAACACGCACCATCTGTAGAACAAGAGGGTTGGGAGAGAAATATCGTCAGTTGCAAGCTTCAAAATATAACGGCAAGAGCAGTCCCGCGTCATCCAAAGCCTCGATCCGCCATCCAACGTGAAATATATCCAAATTGCGAGTTTTTGGTGTCTCCGAGATCTCAGCGGGCGTCCAAGTCGGATGGTACAGTCTGACGGGGCAGCAGCGGCGAAAATGAGCTCACCTTGATGAGTTTTGTCGGGCAGGCGTTGTTGAGCGCAGTGTACTCACTGGTTCACCAACTCAAGTCGGCATCTCCCGAATGGCACGTGGTCTGTCCGATCCGGCTTCCGCTCACCCGCTCTCCTCAATGTTAGCTCTCGTCTCTCCCAGTGCAATCGCTGCTATTCCGCCTTCGCCAGGACGCGTTTCATGACATCCCCTCACATCGCTCACTCTCTGGTCTTTGTCACGCGATGCTAGCTTTATCTACTACCCTCAAGTACTGGCTCTTTCATCTGCATGTGATCCTCCTGATACATAAGCGTCTTCTGTGTTCCCCCATACGCGTTCCGCAGTGACTGACTGCGCTGTTAAAATATATCCACATCTGGAGTCTACCGCATGGTATCGTACAGCTCGAGATTGATTCTAAGTAACATCATATTGCGACTCCACGCCCAGCGACATTCGAGTGCACCTGGAGTCAGGAAATAAACGTCTTTGATGGAAGAAGAGCGAACAAAGCTGCTGATGGTAGGAGGTTGAAACTATGGCTCGGCGTGTAATGCCCGACAAAACTATAAATAAAAACTTGAATTCGACATTCCACCACCATGGTACGGAATAAGACTACTTGGGTTACATTGCTCGTATGGGAGTCTATGATTGCCAACAGTGAAGATCGCTAACCTGTGTTTGCCGCTTGTCATCTATCCAACACGGCCTCTGGAAGAAGAACCAGCAACATGTGAAAATCAGTTACGGGGTTCTGGAAATAAAACATCATTACTGCGTACGTATTACTTTAGAACTGAACTGAATTCATGAGTCTCGCTCTTAGCTGTCGTTTTACTTCATTCCATCAGAAGGAAGGTCGGGGATATCATGCATGAACACCAGCGCACTACGCAGAAGTCAGGACATTTGTATTGGGGCGGTGTAGGAACTCAAGTGACTGCAAATTCAGAAGATACACCACAAGGGCGCGAAAGCCTGTAGCATAGATTGCAGACGCCTGAATCGCTGCCTGAGCTATAGGCGCTGGTAAGCGCTCGACGCCCACCAGCGTTTATTTAATTAGCTTAGAAGACGGAGAGGCATTCGAGGGAATGGTGTATTCTTTCTTCAGCCCGCTTTTAAGATCCGAGTATCCCAGCGCTCGTCGAATAGGCACCATTGGCCACGCGGGTCGCGGGACCATTAACGCCTCCGAGTCCTGCTGACGACGACTTGTCCGTTTCTATTTCTGGGCTGTACCTGCTAAATTGTTATCACCGTCATTCAGTTACAATATTGGTACGGCATCGCGAATACCCCTAAGGACAATCAACTCTGATTCTTATGCTATGATTTTCAGCAGATAGCGCCGATCCGGAGTATCACTATTAGACACTGCCTAAAAACCCGCTCGAGGAGATCAATAAGTATATTTTTGTTACATAGGACGCTGGGGGGGGGGGGGAACGCGGGCGTGGATCGTCGTAACACCAGGAGGCACAAGGGTATAGATCTAACGTGTGCATTCACCAACCCATTATGGTGTGTATTCAGGGAACGGGCCTGATAGCCTGCGGCGTCAAGTCGAAGGTGTAGGGGAAGCTGAATAGAGGGAGAGGGCCCGCGAGGAAGGGGAAAGGAAGGGATATCAGCAGGAATGATTTCTATCTCTCCGTTTTGCACGGCGATGCGCTGAGGAGGGTGAGGAGCCGTGGATTGTTCTGGAGCTCGGGGAGATGTTCACCATTGACTGTGATACGATGCTATAGTTGAGTTTTAATGCGCGCTCAGTGGGAGAGGAGGAGGATGCATTGAAGGGGGGAGAGAAGTCGGAGGTCGGATTTGGTATCGAGAAGAGGAAGAGAAGAGGATGGGGATGGGGGAGATGACATGGAGTCGTTTTGAGGAGGGGTTGGTTATATATAGGATATGCGAATATGTAATTATGGATGGCCTGAGGGATTAATCGGGTAGGGTTCTTTTTATAAATTACCGAGATTGTCTATTGTCAACATACCAGTCTTTGGCCAGCCTTCAAGATTCGAGAGTGTAGAAGTTGGATGCAATTGCAGCCATTTTGGGGAGAGAATTCTGTTTGGATGGTTCAAAGGATGTTTATCCGACTTTTCCTTTAAGAATACGTTCAATCAAGGTGATGGCATGCCAAAATGAGAAGATATGGGTGTATAGCTTGGTGTTCAGGCAAGGAAAAATGGCAAAAAGTGAGTCGACCCAGGTTCGAACTGAGGACCTTCTGTGCACCTAAATGTTAGACAGATGCGATAACCAGCTACGCCATCGACCCTTGTGGTAGGCATGATGAATGCTTTTAACATTACGCATGCGGGAAGAACCTCTATAATGAGACGGTTCAATTTACACTGGCGTGTTGATTGTTGAACGATGATGTACAGTGACTTTAGAGACAAATAATAGACACATACGTATACACACAGTAAAGCACAGCTTTTTAGATGACCTTAAAACTTGATTTAAACTCACTGAAACTAATTTATTAGAGCGTGTAAGTGTCTCAGTCGTGAATAGAAGCGACTGAATTATAAACTACCTATTAGAGCGTGTAAGTGTCTACGAGGTAGTGTTAATAATTTGGTAAATAAGTAAATAAGTAAATAAGACATACCTCAGTCGTGAATAGAAGCGACTGAGGTTTTATGTCATGCTCGAATGTTTTTATACTACGGAAGCAAATGGGGGGACTTCTAAAGACTAGCAAACACGGGAGAAACTATATACGAGCAAGCCACCCAATTGTCCACAAGTGGTAATCGTCCACAATGGTGATCGAGGCTGTAACGCGTGGTCAAGATGTGTACCGCACGTGAGTCCCACTCCCAATATAATTCCTCACACTAATTTTCATCGTTTCGGTGAGCTTAAATCAAGTTTTAAGGCCACCTGAAAACCGGCTATTTGCGGTGATAACATGATAAATATAATTTAAAAGAAGCTTTATAGAGGAAATACACTATACCTACAACTAGCTGGGGAATTTTTTTTTTCGACTTTGAGTCTATTTTCAGTACACCCTGATAATCCATAACCCTTTATAACCCATAGCTTTCGTCATGGATAGAAGGGTATGGGTTATGAGGGTGACGACTGTAGTGCCTTTCGCATTTAACTTCAACTTATTGATCACAGATGGACCTAAATGTTGCCAATAACAACCGTACTCCGACGGTAGACGGATTGATACTAGACTGAAAAAAGGTGCTAAGGGTGGGGATTCTAAAGGAATTGATGTAACGGATTGCAACGGGCGGATGATAAGATGATCCATCGCCATCTTGTGTTCCTGATCTTCTTATAGACCACTACGGACATTCAAATTTGGCCACAATTCAATCATCCTCTCACGCCCGTCGCCCAGTGGCTTGATCTCCTTATGTCAACCTCTCGCGTAGGAGATGCCCAAGTAGAATATAATGTCGCACATGGGATGTTCTCGAGCCATAGTACGCCGCTTTGTTCTTCATTATGCCTACCATTCAAGTTAAAGATCTCGAATTCTTTTATACTGATAGCGGTGCTCCGAATGCTGCTGTGTACAGAACTATCATTATTATACACGGCCATACCTTCCATAGCGGTACAGATTTATCTTGCTTTCGATACTCATTACTCACATCATTCTGAAGGCACCTTTCAACGTCTCCTTCCTCTTGCTGCTGCACAGTCTTTGCGCGTGATCTGTGTCAACCGACGTGAATATCCTGGGACTACACCATTCACTCCAGAAGAATTAAAAGTCTTTGCGGAGGGTTCCGAGAAGGAGCGCGCTCTGCTGATCGAGCAACAGGGCATCGACTTAGGATTATTTGTCGATGCAGTAATTCAGCAACTCGTTCTTTCCAAGGAAGGGGGGATTACTCTGGCAGCTTGGTCGCTGGGAAATGCGTTTTTGATTTCCCTACTCGCTTCCATCAATTTACTCCCCGTCGAAAGTAAGGAGCGGTTGCAAACCTACGTTAAAACTGTTATTTTATGGGGTGGGTTCTTCCTTTTTACTTTCTACTATTGATTCTCTGATTCAAATTCTATTCAAATAAAAAGATCCACCCACGCAGGCTCTTGGAATCAAAAGTCCCCCAGGAAGCTACGTTCCACTTTGGGACGAGACCCTGGCCCCTGAGGCTCGCGGTCCTGCTTTCGGAGTATGGGTATGTTCATCGATTTCTATCGAATTTACAATATACTGAAGATGAAAAAGGCAGCAAGCTATTGGAAACACGGCGATATTTCCAGTCGTAATTTTGATCAATTTGAACATCGAATTCCCGACCCCTCCAAGAAACCGTCAACCGATAATATGACTCGCGAAGAACTATTCTCCTTGGCTGACTTTGCCCCTGGAGGAAAGTGCGAGACCATTTTGTGCGAGCCAGCGTTCGCAAACGTGCTTATGAACCAGACGCAAAAGGCTCTTTTTGCTCCTGAAGTCCGCAAAAGTTGGTATGGAGCGGAGTTCTGGAACATGTACGGCGATTCCAACCCGTGGAATATTATTTATTCACCTTGGATCCTGGAGCAAAAGGTAAAAGCGGCCAAGACGGTTCAACCGCTTCTTAAATTCAAAGCGAACGAAGGGGCCAACCACTTTGTGAGTACGATTGATAATTTATGTGACCTGAATTTGTTTAATTAAAGTATGTCTTGCAGTTGATGTGGGATGAGCCGGAGAAGGCATTGCGTGCCATTCAAGATTGCAGCAGATAGTATACTATCGAGCGAAAGATAGCTTCGATAGCGTGCCAGGTGATCTGTGAGTTAATATTTATGTCACTATCTACCACAACGAGACATTGACAACTGTTTCTGTAACGATAGAAGGTGTCTCAATTTGATGTTTGTTCGAATCCGAACAAATATTGCCCTTGGAAACCCCATTTTGCTCCAATCTTAAGGTCCTTAAACACTCCAAGAATGACTTCTATTAAATAATAGTCCCCACCGTACTCACTTGCCCTCTCAAATTATCTGTATACAATGACCAGAGATCGTAGACACATACCTGCTAATATCAAGGAGCTATGTCTGGAGATGGGCGAGCATGATAGCATCTGCGGTGCATGCCACTATATATGTGGTATGCCATTTACATCTAGTCACCACGAGCTAGAGCGATGTTGTCAGTGAGGAGAAGTGAGTGCGGCTAGTGCAGAACATTTCCAAAATGAGCAGTATTTAATCGTAACTCAGGTGACTCTGACCTCAAGGTGACTGCATTCTGCATTATTTCAGCTCTATACAGTGCTTAGCATCGACGAATATAAATATTACCCTCCAGCTTGTCGTGGAATAGTTGCGCCGGGAGAAGCGGAACGGAATCACGAATTCTCCGTCATCACGGTGAGAAGGCAAGGGATCATTTTATACTTATCAATAAGTATAGCGCTCTGTAGTGTTGTTCAGTGAGTTGAAGTGGTTCTAATAGTTAAATCCTATGTAGACATTACATACTTACTCGATATTTACTCAGACTTGAACTTTCTTTATTGATTTACTTACCGCATTTGGAAATACATTATTTGACCACAAGGACAAGTATAGGGTTGCATCACAGTTACAAGTTAGGTAATTCCTATTTCCGAAATCCGCCTATCATTATCTCGACCACCGTGTAGACCGCGGTTGAGCGTACAGGTGACCAATCAACTGTCAATCGAACATTTTCATGGCTAGCCTTACTTGATTCCATACTCTAAAAATAGTACGCCAATTCAAACTCGCTGTTAGCTCAGCTCCTTGTCGGACATACAGAAGGGGTTCTCTGATTAATATTTTATGATGTCCATAAATTTGCACACACTAGTATGACTTCATCACCATATGGCCAGTAAACGCACAACTTAGGACCAGGATCCAAACTTACCCCGAACGCCAGAAAGTAAGTCGACAGCTAGACAGCACATTTTTAGTCGTAGTAAGCACGGGGTAAACACAATAGGTCCGTCTTGTGAAATTACTCAATCAGTGATTTCGGAACTCTGATAGATCGTACATCAATCTGTGGATCTCTTTTAATGTTTCATCAGATGTCTGGTGATATAAATAGCCTAGACGAAGGGAAAAGTATTTGAACTTGGGATCAATTTCCCTGGGTCGTCGCCTTGACAGATTCCTCCAGACATGGTCAGCCCTCTCGACTCCACATACGGTATCTGGCTTGTAGCCTTGTTTCTTGAAACAATGTACGATGTGTATGCTAAATACCTGCTACTTTATTGAATGGTATGCCTATAGGCTGTATGGAGCTGGGCTTTTACAGGCCTGGTTATATTTTCATTGGTATAGCAAAGACCACTGGGGTGTGAAGACTATGGCGAGTTAATGATTTAATAGTTGCCATACCATCGTTTCGAATAATCAGATCTCATCTAGGTTGTGACTCTCGTGTATGCGAAAGAATTCGGTGTCATCAGAATGCGAATGATTTATCCTCTGTATATAGGCTGTTCGAGACACTCCAGATTACCTGGTTCTTCGCGTCGACATATATTTGTCTCATCGACAACTTCGGGAACTTCCCGGCGCTCTTGGTCATAAACTGGCGAGTTCCCTCTATAGTTATATTATGTTCATAAATATTGATATAACTAATTTTCCTAGGCAAGATTCAGTAGGCAAATATTATATTTATTTCCGGATTATTCGCTTATAGTTCTTTCTTGAACTTCAACAGGGACAACTACTAGCCGGGGTAAGTGCTTCGCTATTCCCCACATTACCGGCCGTTCGAGCCAACAATGACCATAGTATCTTTCGGCATTTATTGTCCAATTGTTCGTATTCATTCCAACTTCTATACCAAGTAGAACTTCAGCTTATTAATTACTGTCATCCAGATACTTTGCGTATTGCATTTACTCCCGTCAGCGACATAATTTAATTCTTCACCGCCCCTCAGTAAGCTAATTACTTGGAATACAGTCAACAAGAAGAAATTAGTCGCACCCATTCTGATAGCAAGTATTAGCTATCTATATTTAATATATACTAATTATATTTCGTGTATCAGGTTATTCTGGTTTTAGTTGAAATGGGTACGTATCTTCTTTTTAAGATCGGAATGTGAACTGATTGTTATGTATTAGGAGCAAGCATTGGTATGTGATGCAGCTGCAAATAAACTGATAACGACGGTTTACATTGGAATGTAGCTCTGACAGTCAAAACGTTTGATCATTTCCCCTCCACGACAGCATATTAATGCTGATATCCTCTCTTAGAATTGAATTGGGCTCTTTCACTTTCCTGACCGACACTAAAGCCATCTTCACA